TTTCTGTCTTGAATGTTGTGCTGTGAAATTTTGTTACTCATACGCCCCGTAGTACGATTCCTCTTTCGATTTTCGAATGTGTGCATTAAATATTTACTAATACGTATGTAGTCTTTTAAAAACCTTTTTTTTTTTTAAATTAAATTATTGACCTTAAATGTAAATATAAAAATTTAATTTCACTTAGTTGTTCACTCACTTCCTTACTTTTGTGAGGCAACAAAAGTTTGAGATTTGCATAAAATCGAATCGAGCATGAATCGAGTGAAGTGTGTGTAATAATAACGCAAAGTATTTCTTAAATAAAACACGAAATTATACAAAATTGTGAAGGAAACATGAATTTCACAAATGTTTCTATTTCAACACATTTTCAACAGAAATTTGGGTTAAGTCTGGAGGCATTTCGATTTCAATTTTAATTCGCACAAAACTCGACAACGCATTAAGGCTTTTGAATTATAAATGAGTGTCTGTCAATTTGCAAATTCTGTAATGACGTCAAGAATCCTAAAATACAAATTATCATAATACATAATAATTATCATAATAATGAATAATTTTTTTTTGTTATGTAATATTCACCATATTGTGTGGAATTATTATTTTTACATGTAAATTTGTTGAATATGCAATAATTTAAATATAAGTAAAATTATGAGTTTGTTAAGCAAACATATTTGACATTGAATAAGCTCATTGCATTCATATGTTGCGGTTGTCCATATATTGTCCATATATTGTGTGTATAAAATTTATAGTCAGTTTTTATTAAATTTATGGAAAATTGTCCAATAATAAACAGACATTAAAATGTTGATTTTAAGTATAGTAGAATTTGACAATATACAAAACTCTTTCAACAAATTTGTATAACGCAAGCGATCTAAATTAAGTATGCAGAAATCTCTGCTATGAATAATAGTGGCGAAGTTTTAAAAAAAAAATGCTTAAGTTAATTTATGCAACTATGGTTTAAGCGTTGATTCTAATCATTTACACAGCAAGTGCTATAGTTGTTAATGAATAAACAGCATAAACTGATAAATCTCTAAATTTGTATTATGCAAATGAGGTGTGCATTGGCTTTGTTTGTTAAAATTGATGTCCAACGTTTAAATTTAACAGGGTTCAATTGCTGTCCAAAAATTATATACAAGCATTTAAATCAAATTTTGATGACACAGCTGTGTGATTAGAATAGGAACTCTTTGGAACAGGGTTCAATTGCTGTCACTTACAGTCCAAAAATTATATACGGACAATTGAATCAAATTCTGGGGTTTCAAATAACTCAGGTGTGTGATTAGAATAGGAACTCTCTAGAACAGGGTTCAATTGCTGTCACTTGCATTCCAAAAAGGTAAATAATACAAATTTTTGGGTTTCAAATAACCCAGCTGTGTGATTAGAAAAGGAACTCTCTAGAACAGAGTTCAATTGCTGTGACTTGCAGTCCAAAAAGGCAAATAAATCAAATTTTGTAGTTTAAAATAACCCAGCTGTGTGATTAGAAAAGGAACTTTCTAGAACAGAGTTCAATTGCTGTGACTTGCAGTCCAAAAAGGCAAATAAATCAAATTTTGGGGTTTCAAATAACCTAGCTGTGTGATTAGAATAGGAACTCTCTGGAACAGGATTCAATTGCTGTCACTTACAGTCCAAAAATTAAATACAGACAATTACAACAAATTTTGGGGTTCCAAATAACCCAGCTGCGTGATTAGAATAGGAACTCTCTGGAACAGGGTTCAATGGCTGTCACTTGCAGTCCAAAAATTAAATACAGACAATTAAAACAAATTTTGGTCTTTCCAATGACCACAGCTGTATTATTACGACTGACAGGAACTCTCTGGAACAAAACATTAAAAATATTTTTGTTTAAAAAATATTTAATTTGCCATTCATCTCAATCTTTACAAAATTTTGTTGTAATTGTTGTGATCAATTTATATATATTTTGATGTTAACTAAAATGAAAACAAATTGTGAAAAATGACAGATTGAGTTTATCCTTTGCTAGTGTAGAAACTGTATTAAATTCATAATTAACCCATTAGGTACCAGGTAAGTTCAAACCTGGAATTTTATAATGAAATTTCCATAGTAAATAGTAAAATAATATAAGTTTAAGTAAATGAGAAGAGTTAGATATTTATTTGAAAGATTACTCTCACTTTATCTTTACCTTACGACTAAAATTTATGGGACCCAACGGGTGGTTGACCACACGCCATTTTTCGGCGGTGTCTGGTGGCTAGTAACTGTTACTATGACGCCAGCAAAAATTACGAAAATTATATTTAGGCTTTTGTGAACACATGTTTTAACAAATAAAGTAGTTTTTATTTCTATTTATTTTAATTTTTCTTGTTTAATTTTTTATTGTTTTTTGGCCTCTTGGAAACTGGACAGATGAAATACGTATTTTTATATTATTACGATATCAAACTTAATAATAAATATAAAAAATATTGATTTAATTATTTATATATATTTTTAACAAATATTCAAAGCTAGCTATATGGTACACTGCACAGTGGTCCGAAATGTGTTAAGGCAACAATTTATTAAATTATCATACATTATAGTATTCAATAGATTGATTTTTACTTCTGTTTTGACGAAAGGCACTAAATTCTTAATATAAACTATTGTTTACAATAGAGAGGTTTTTATTGAACAGTAGTAAATAACAAGAACAAAAATTTTTTATTATATTTAATTAACTGAATATTTGGCTGACTATACAACTGTTTAGAGTACTGTCAAATACCCATCAGCAGTGGTCTTGGAATTTTTTCTTATATTTAATTATTCGTAAATAATTCTTTTTTGAGACTGCAAGTACGAAGAATTGAACTCGTGCCCTGCCAAATTTAAAGCTCAGAATCAGTGTACATTAGCCAACTGATCCAAAGCTGTACTTGACTTGTTTATTCGAACTTGGAGTTTATTTATGTTTATTTGAACTTGGAGTTTTGGTAATTTGCTATGAGTTTTGTTAATTTGCTCATTATCGAAATCATAAACCAGCTATATAGAATAATTAAGTTAATTGATTTAATATTTCTTTAAAGACTGTTCGAATAAAAATATTTTCGGAAGGGTTCGAACAGTAATGCAGAAGCAAAAATAAAAATTTATTTAATTTATTAAAATTTTGTGGGCCATACAACGCTGTTACAAGTATTGTCAAAGACTCACAGTGATCTTAGATAATATTCGAGTTTTTATTTAATTAATTTATACTACGTTTATAATTTGTTGGATTGCAAGCGCCAAGCTTAAAACTTATGTCTATCAATTTAAAAACTATGGCTAATCGTGTTTTTCCACAAATAGCCAAGGTTGCAGAAATTTTCAACGCTCAATTTTCATATTTTTGTGTTATTACACAACGTGTCCTAGGTTTTTTATCCTTACATTTGGGTTTTCCACACAACTGCACAAGCTTTTACATCTTATATTAAGTGGGGACCATTCCTTTATAGACTCTCGGTACACATTTCGGTAAGCATATTTGTGTTCAGAATTAAGACCATTTAACGCGACAACACAGACTTGACATGTAATAATTTGAGCTTAGTTTTCACAACGACCTTTTGACGAAATATCTTTGTGATTGTAGAATGATAGTGTCCAGACTGGAGGAGTTTTTATAGTATTTAAGTCTGATACTAACACTATCGTTGCTTTTCTGCTATTCGAAAAAAAAAACTTTCATGACTAACTATATAGTGACCATATCCTTGCAGTCATGGCATCATCTGGGCATAATTTGTACTATACTATTGAATACTACAGTCTGTTGCAGTTAAGGTTGTTTTATCATTGACATTTGAGTTTAAATAATTAATTCAATTTAAATTTATTACAATTTCTTCCTTCAATAGATTATATATTATTTATCATTTAAAGGATTAAAAGCTCATGCTATTCAATTGCAATGTTCGTAATAAATCACATTGTGTTTTTGTGCTTTGCACACAATTTTCAGAATAATTCTTCTTATAATTTATTGGTGGCTTAAAAAATAAAATAGAAGTATTGTATGTCAAATTTGTTTAATTTTAATAGTTGTATGCATTTCTTAAACTTGTAAAATTGTGAGAATTTAAGTGTATTCTTCATTAAACTTTTAATGTTATTGTAAATTTAAAAAATAAAGATTTAGTTTACATTTAAATTATGAAATATTTAATTTGTATATTGTAGATGTAAGTAGTTTGTCAAATTTCATGCATATCAGAATACCTCCAGATATAAAACAATAAGCTTTCCTCACATTTTAACGAATAGTGTAGCCTAAGGATAACCGAAAATGGTTCCTTTCAGTTTGCTACTTTATTATACATTTAAATGCCTCTATAAGATGTGCCACCGTATGGGAACTCATACATAAAAGTTTTTGCTCGGAGGCGTGGTGGTACAAAGGATTCACTGCTTGCAAGCGTGCATGAAATCATCACACATCGCTATTCCTTTGTCTTACTCGACTGCGATTGTCAAGCCACACTTAAAGTGACGAGTGGGTTCAAACAAATGACACCATTGTGGGTGCTTACGGCAGCACTTGCTGACAATGGATTGATATACATGGTATATATAATATATATGTGCAACTCTGGAATACAATAAGAGTAATATTTACTATAAATTTAAAAGCATGTGCATACTTATATATATATATATATGCAACAATATTTAAGACTTCAGTATTTGTTAAGAATAGTGAAAGCGTTGACTGCAGTTTCAGCTTCCGCTAACTGCAGTCACAAAATTTTCATACTATTAATTTTTATTTGCATTTCAAATTTGGAATCGTAAAGTAAATTTCAAACAAATTTTATAAAATTTTTATAAAAATCATTGTGACTTTATTGCACTTATTTTGCAGCTCGTAAAAATAACATTTTTTTTGATATTATTTGGCTTATACAAAAATATGCAGATTTTATTATTAATATTTACATAATATAGGACTACCACACTTTATTAAACTAAAAGATAAAAAATTGAAAAATTGTAAATAGGATATTTGTACACTGTAATCTAAATGAAATACATTGGAATGACTTATCAATCGTAATCAAAAACTTGTAAAATGCAAATATAGGTCAAATTATTTATTCAAATAATTTTTATTTCATCCGTACAAAGAGAAAAATGCATATTTGAATGCATTTTATTTTTTTCATTTCAAACGCCCACTCAGTTATCACACACGCTTCATATCAATTCAGCAAATCTCCACCGTAGACCTCGATATGCGCAGCATTGCTATCAGTGGGAATATATGGTGCATAGGTATTACTCTCGAATTCGTTTAAATACACAGCACCCAAGTAAGCACTGTCCGTAGCATTTTCATCTTTACGGTATAGAACGCCAATATCTTTTATTTGTACTGAACCATTGAAATAGGCCACGTAGTAGCGTACATGCCAACCATTTGTTGCGAAGTCTGGAAATGCCATATCTTTTGGTATTTTTGAAGTTTCCATTGCATTATTTAAATGTACATTATATTGTGGTTTGAAGGGTGACATATAGCAACGACCTCTCTGCAAATTGGTTGTGTCATAATAGTCACCCAAGAACAGGTAACAATCACGCGCATTATTGGCAGCGCAAAAACGTATTATCAAATCCAAGTTTCCGTTTTCAGGTTTTAATTTGAAAGCATAAGCACACACCAGACCACCTCTGTTTAACTGAAAATCAGTAGCAAATAAACGAAAACTTTGATCGAACTGCACTATACGCAAGCATGAACCACCATTAAACGCATCATCATAATAGCGTTCTGCTAGTTGATATAATGGCACCGAAGGTTGTACCGATTGACGTGACAAATTGAAGAAGCAATTTTCCTTCACATCGGCTTCATCTTTCACCAAACCACATGAGTATGTCTGTTTGCCAGAACCTAAACAAAAATCTGTGTAGAAAGGTAATCGACTATATGGATGTGTAGCAAAATGTTCCCAAAGTGTCCACCAAAATTTTTCATTTCGTAATAAAAAGGATGTGTTCACAGCATCATCGCCAAGTGGCTGTTTAATATTGAAGCCAAAAGTCTGCAGTGTCTCGTATGTCCAGCCGGGTGCAAATATTCCAGTAGAGAAACGATGTTTTACGATGCGAGCCAAAGTTTGTTTACTTTGAAACTTGGCAGTTTGACCACGTCCAAAGACATCTATGCCAAAAAAAGCATGCTGCTTATGCATTTGCTCTTGTGCACAAGTGTTCAGTGTCGTTTCGAGGCTTTTATCGTTCCACGTGTAATTTATAAGCATTGTACCAGTTGACTTAAAGAAACGCACATTTTTGGCATTGATCTCGTTCTGCCATGCCAATTCGCCAGTGTCTATGATGCTGTCATACCAAAAGACGACGCCATAATCGACTTGCTCTTGAATGACCGTACGCAAACGTTCCACAAAGAAGCTGCAAATATAAAAAAAAAAGAAGATGAAATTCAATGAAGGACATATAAGCAATTTGTTATAAAAAAAAATGTTTGCTAAAATTAATGCTAAGGACACAAAATTAAACCAATTTGACTATAAAATGTGCCAAATATAATAAAATTGGTTTTCAAACAGGTTGGAGACAGATATCTGCGTAAAGTGCAAAATCAAAATAAATTGGGCCAAAAAAAAACATGTTTTTTAAACAAATGAGATTTTTTAAGTAAGAAAAATATAAACATTTTTTTCTAAGACTTACATGTAATAGACACGTATTTCTAATTTAAATTACTCATTTTGTAATTACAGTAAAAATCACTTATAACAATTAAACGATTGTTTCTTAAAATCAAATTTAGTTCGATGTATAATTACCTCCAGCTCAAAAAGTACCCGGATTTGGTAAATAAAATACACAAATTTAAATTTTATTCCAAATTTATTTTATCTTCTTCAAAATATGCTCCTTCTGAAACAATACACATATGCCAACGCTTAACCCAATCTTCCATACACTTTTCGTAGGCTCGTGCAGGTATGGCTTTTAGTTCCTTCGGCGAATTCTCTTTTACCGATTCAAAACGCTTACCACGAAGGGGCAAGTTTCGGGAACAGGAAAAAGTCGCACGGATCCAGATCTGGCGAATATGGTGCCTGAGCGATGATAGTGGTGCCGTGTTTGGTCAAAAAATCGCGTACAACAAGAATTTTCCATAGTAAAAATCGCTAAATGCACTTGTGGTAGTCTCACATTAACAGCTGCTGTAAACAAACTAATTGATAGATGGCGCTCAGATTTGTACCATATGTCAAGTAAGGGTGTACCAACTTAACAAAAAAAAATTTTTGAAAACGGTCTATTGCTTAAGGAGTAGTTAACAAACAACAAAATCAAATCTACTTTTTGAGCAGAATTTGTATATACAATTTGTATATTTTTATGGCGACATTAATATAACGACATATTGGTTATTTCGACCGTATTTTAATGAAATTTTGGGTATGACTACTTGCTATAATGACCAAGTAAAACAAACATTTTTTTCGTGACCCTTCTCTTTAAAGGGTCTGAACTGGAACCCTTTCAGTTCCTTTCAGTTAAAGGAACTTAACTGAAGAAAGTTATAATCAATATTTGGGTTATAAAATAATGAAAATTATTATCTAAAACAAATCCTCGTCGACTGCAGGGACGCAATGCGCTTCAAAGATAACTACAAAACAAAAAGTTCAGATTATTTTTCTCTGTTGGGAAATAATAAGTTAATAAGAAGATGTAAAATATATATATGTATACACATACTTTTACAAATAAATAAATGACTTATAAAGTATATAAATTCAATACAGAAAAAGTTATAAAAATTTGTTTCTGTTACATATCTTCAGTCTCCGAAGGAAATTGAAACTCAGATGCAACCGAAATTATTTGCTAATGGTCTTTGGTGATTTTATGGGTATTTGTTTTACCACGACATTAAAAGCGCATCAGATGACAGTGCAACATTTATATAAAAAAATGTATTTTTGTCTTAATGCTACGAAATTCAGTATAAAGGATAAAATTCCAACAACGGAATTTTATCTGATTAAATAATAGCCAATAGCGGGATTTTAACATTGAAACAAACATTAAACAATCTTATCGCTAGCAAACAGAAGAGTTAAACATTGTAATAAGTGAATATTTTGTTTTCAATACAACTGTTGAGAACATCGAACACCGAATTGGATTACCGACATATTATCAGTGCTAGTAAATACAAATCTGCGAAAATTTCGGTACTAACTTTTGCTTTCATACCGGTATATTGTAGCATATCAATCGTATTTCAAACATTTCATGAAACACACCCGAAAAATGGTATAATCCTTACAGGATTTGGAAATAAATCCTTAATTCCGAATCAAGATACGAAGACCATGTACTAAGATCTTGCCTCAATTGACTTTTTTCTGTTTGATTCTGTTTAGTGCAGGATTGAAAGACCACAATTGTATGAAGGATTGGATCGAAGGTTGACATAGTTATATTGCACCCGTTATTTAGTTTATAACTCAACGTTTTGCTGAGATTTTTCCAGTGTATTCAAGAGTATACCGTTTATTACTTGCTTAAATATTGTTTGTAATTGTAATTTAACGTCAGTCATAATGGAAGTGGCTATTTTACTTAATAGAAACAATTGTATTTGGCAGAGAGGTTTCGAAAAGTAGTGAACTACAACAACAAAAATTCTTTTTATATTTTTTTAATTAGTACAGCCAAATACTCATCATTAGTGATCTTTAAATTATTTTTTATATTTAATTATTCGTAATTAATTTTTTAAGACTGCAAGTTTAAAGGGTTGAACTCGTATGCTGCCAAATTTAAAGCTTCCATGACCATTGACGATGGGTATTTGGCAATACTCGAAATATCTGCGTGGTTAGCAAAAAATTCAATTAATTAAAATTATTTAAAAAGAATTTTTGATTATTTTTTGTTTTTTTTTTGCGCATCCAACGATATTAATACAACATAATAATAATAATGCTATTTTTATTATAACTAACATCAGACATTATGCCTAAGCAACATTATGATGCAATAGGCCTCCATTTCTCTCCAGTTCACGCTTTCTATAAAGTTTATTAAATATGTAATAATTTCGTTAATATTAAATGTCCGAAGTACGAAAAAAAATTAAAACAAATGTACTTTGTACTTCAATAAAATCAAAACTTTGACTTCTTAATAAATAAATGAATATTGTGAGACTCTGTTGCTGTACAATATTTAAGCATAAACAGTACAGATCCTGACTTTGCTAAAAAAATTAAAAAAAAAAAATTAATAATAGAAAACATGAATTTTAATTTAGTCAGTAACCACTTAGTATAAAAAACTTTTCATTTTCACTGAAAACTTTTGTACACCCAATGGATTACAATTCAACTGAGATTAAGCATTAAAATTGAAAATGTTAAAAGTCGTTCATTCATATAGAAAATTAAACAAAATAACTTATTTCATTAAAATCATTATAAGATTATTGCTTTATTTTCTTATTATATTTATTATACAATTGTAAAAACACAACTAAAACCTATTGTTTTAAGGACAAAACTCAATAACAATTTTCAAAACATATGTTGGATATAAACGACAATATTGCTGCGTTTGTTACAATCCGATTTATAAAAAAAAAATAAAAACTATGAGTACACAAAAGGCCTCGAGAAATGTTTTTCTAATTTGTTATGTTGATCCCAAAAATGGAATTGCTACCAGCGGCTATATGGCACGCCGTATCCTTTAACATTATTTATAATTTAAGCCACAATGAAATTGAGCAATATTTCAGTTCCACAAACACACAAACTCACTTATGAGTACACAGAGTATAGTAGAGTTTTTCTGCTTGAAATTACTTAAAAAATTGGAAAAATTCGAACTGAAAAAAAAGGCGAACTGCACAAACATTACTCATACGCCATGGAACGAAATTGGTTGCACTTTTTAATGGTACATAGGAAAATATAAAAAATTGTTAGCTTTTTGACATTGGCATCATTTCGTTCATCACAGCCATTCCCTACAACGTTTAGCATGTGCAAGTGCTGTGATTATTTCACGTATTTGTCATACTATTTTTTTTTCGTTATAACTTTAAAGTTGCGAAAATAATTTTAAAAATTCAGAAAAAAATAGTAAAAAAAAATGTTACTTAAAATTTATGAGGAAGGGATTTTCGTTTATTGTCGTTTTTAATTTTATAAAAAAAAATATTAGAGAAATTTCTAGCATATGTGTCTATATTAAAGCTTATATATAGAGTTATGTTATATTAAAAATTTTTAAAACACGAAGATTTTGAGGAATACATAAATTAATCAATAAGAAAGGTGGGACTCTGCAGAAACCCCCCAGCTATCAAAGAGTAAGAGTGCCCAGTTGCAGTAACTCGAAAAAGACTCAACATGAATTTTATAAAAAAAAAAATGATTATAAAACTTAAAAGATTAATATAAAACTTGTATATGACTATCATTAAAAAACTTATACGAAGTATTTCATAGAATAACATATGGTATAATGCACATATGCACTTTTCGTGAGCAAAAAGAAAATGTCAATTGAATTTCCAAAGAATTGTTGCATTTGGTTTGGCAAGAATAGGAAAAAGTTTCCTTAAATCACATTCAACCGTGCGTACCGCCAGCTCAGCGGTACTGAGCAGCGCATAATAAATATTCCATGCACTTCTCCACCCATAAGCTTATATATACGACAGGACGAATGTGATGTTTTTAAGCGAATTTTTGTCATGCTTCTGAGGTTTCAAAATGGCTTGCTAGTGTGTTTTTTGTTTATTTGATTTTAAAGTGCCGAAAAGGATTTGAAAGCAACACTTTTCGGAAGTCATACTATAACACTGGTATGTGCTGTAAATTAAACTTAAATGGAATAAAATATGCGCATAGTTTAATGTCTTGAAATGAATTCCCGCATAATCCATCTCTCGTTACACATATGCATGCATATACGTATATAAATTCTTAGAAGTCTAAAGAGGAATGTAGTTCTTGTGATGTGAGAAAATTTTATATCAAATAATTTAATTAAAATATATTTAACACTAAGCACAGAATAACAATTTTCTTACCACTTAAAATGTTTATAAAGAGGTTTTCTACAAAATTATTTATTTAAAATTATTTTTAAATTTGTTAACTACTGTCAGCAGATACTTTTCCGTAACATTTTCTTATACCTTTTTTTTTAAATTGCAGTCAGCTGGCACTTTAGCTGTTGTTTATTTTTTTGGCAGTGATGTTTTTAGGGGTGGATTAAGGGGATAGGTTAAAGAGAATAGATTCCGCACCTTAATTTTTAATAATCTTAAGATAATAAAAATTATACGTGTTAATGATAACGAAACTTTAAATATATTAAAGGAATGTTTTAAATTTTATTTCATTGCTACTTTG